CTTCTTTCCTTCCTTCCTTCCTTCCTTCCTTCCTTCCTTCCTTCCTTCCTTCCTTCCTTCCTTCCTTCTTCCTTCCTTCCCTCTTTGTTTTCTTCTTTGCCTCCCTCCTGCCTTCTTGCATCCTGCATTCTCTCTCTCTCTCCCTCTTTCTCTCCCTCTCTCTCCTTCCTTTTTAAGTTTACTGCAGGGTGGTATTTAGAAGCCAAACTTTGCCTCCCAGTGTCTCTGTGGCCGGAGGCATCATTTCCTCTCCACCCATTCTGTGTTCTGTGCACAAAGTCCAGAAATACACATTTCAATTGTGAAAGCACAGAGCGTCTCAGGCTCTTCCCAGCCCCTCTCTACCCCGAGGGAAGAGCCTGGTCATGGGTCCTGTGAGCTTTCTGCCCACCTGCTCTCTCCTAATAGCACACCAGTTCCTCCAGTGGCACAGCACTGTGCAGCCATACACCTGTCTAATAACTACCCTGTTGCTTTGTTTTTTTACAAGTCTGTTTTCAAATATTCTCCAATTTCACTCTTAGAAGATTCTTGCATTTATTCTTACATTTATCCCTAAGTTTATTTTTGTTTTTAATTTTATTTGGGTGCCAGGGCCAACATGGCATGCAGCACCAGGGTTCAAACCTGGGTCCTTGCACTTGCCAGGCAGGTGCTTAGACCTCAGAACTATCTCCTTAGCCCAGTATTTTGCTTTGATCTTACTTAATGTTTTGTTTTACCTTTTCCCATTATGCTTCTGACCTGGCTATTGATTATGCTGGCTTTTGAACATTATGACATCACAGAACTACTTTGATAAACGCTTTCATTTTTCCCTGGATCCCTTTGATTGTCCTTGACATCACGTCATCTGCCAAGGAGACGATCCTCTGTCCCACTTCTAGGCCCCTGTTTTTTGCTCCCCAATGGCTTTGACTGACGCCACTGGTGTTCAGTACCGGTGAACATAGTGCATGGGCCCACCTTGTGGCAGAAGATTCACTGTGGCTTCCATGTGGTTTGCTGAAGACAACAGGAGAGAAGGACTCTGCTCAGCCCGAGGGTGTCCTGAGCATTGAATTCGGTGCTACCTTCCTCTGGACCAAGAGGCAGGACACTCACAGCACTGGTCACCCGTGGGGGAAACCTTCCTCCTTCTTTCTCCACCCCATCCAGCCTTTGTTGTTTTCAACCAGCTCCTCTTCAACATTAGCCCTGTGTGTCATCAAGCTCTGTGACCTTGACCTGGACCTGTGTCCTCTGTCCGTAAACACATGCTGTCAAGCTGTCCACCACATGGCCCTCAGCTTGGCCCATGAATGTCTATCTATGTTTTGTCTTTCTGCTGTTCCTGCTCCCCTGAGATGTCAGGAGTCAAGAAATGGTGACTAGATTCCCACAGTGCGATATACACAATTCGTATGACTCTGTGGAAGCAAAAGTGTTGCATTTAGTACAGCTACAGGTATCTTGGATTGAATCTTCAGTGTTGGTGTGAATCCATCTCATGCATGGAGGTGTCAGTGAGGCCCTGGCCCAGAGTCAATGTGGCAGGGTCTCTGCTCAACTTCCCACTCAATCTCCATGTGCAGAGTCTAGCAGAGACTTCTTTGCAGAGTCTAGCAGAGACCTTTACTTCTGTGCTCATCCCTTTTAATTTAAAAACACATCTACACTGCCGTCCCACATGTCTATGCTGGTGTGCTGAGCCTGGAGCAACCTCGCTCTCTGTAAGGTACAGAGGGGAACTCTCATGACAACCTGGAGTTTAGAATCAAGGGCATCATTTCTCAGTGACTTTCCCAGGGGTCTATGTACACTGTTCTTTGCAGCATCTGCCCAGAGGTATAAAACTCTTCAACTGCAGGAAGGTTCTGTTTCCTTCAAAACATGCCTATTGACTTCAGGAAATGACTTCTTTCCTTTTTCTAATCAAGGTGATTGAGGTTTTGTGGCTTTGGGTTTGGTGGGCAGGAAACAACCTCAGGGCTGAAATCATCCTGGAAAACTCTATGCTTCACCTAGAAGCCACTGGCTGCCTGGGCTCTGCCTTGCATGAGGAGATGCCTTGTCTTTCTGGGTTTTCACACTTGCTTAACTGCATTCATAGTGCAGGTAGGGATTAGGTGGGGCATGGCCGCTCTGTCACCAGGCTTTCTGCTGTTTTTTTTCCTTTCCAGAGAGGCCCAGGTGATTGAACTGTGACAAGTGACCATGGAAGAAGAAGTCCAACTGTCCTAACAGTCACCCACATTCCAGTTTTGGGATGCCTTCATTCAAATGTCCAAGGCTGGTGAAGGTGCCCCATGGAGACTCCATGTGAGAGGCAAATGACAGCGCTAAAAGACTCAAATTTGTAGCACCTCTGCCCTCCCAGGAGTGACTGCTCCTCACCTGCAGGAAGAAGGCTGCGCAGAGGGAGGACATTAGCCAGCTGTAGGCAGAGATGGGAACTGGCAAATCCATAGCACCTGACCTGGTGCGCCTGCCAGAGCTGTTCCTGAATCTGCCCCTACAGTGGCTCTCAGGAATGGGACCCAGAAGAGGCACAACCTCTTTGGCACCCCAACTTAGCAGCATTTTGTAGCTCTTTCTGAAAACACCTCCTTCACTCCTTAGCTGCCAGAACCACACATTACAGAAGGAGCCTGTGCACAGTGAGGGGAATATGGAACCTGGGAGCATGGTCGCTGGGCCACAGCTGCCAAGGGGAAAGGCATCCTGGTCACAGAAAGGACAAGGGCCCTCGGTGGCCATGGCCTGGCCTGTGGCTCTGTAGCTCCTCACATGGAGGACTCAACAAAGTGTCAAGTAAGAAAGCGAATGCTGTGCTTCTGCAGAGCTCTACAAGGCAAGATGCTTTTGCATCCCCATGTGGTGCTGCTGGGCAGACTGTCGCATATGCATGGCACATGCATGAAAGCCATGACTAGCAGGGGTCCAGGAAACCTGCATCGTCTATTTTCGTCCTTGGTCCGAGCTTGCTTTCACCTCTCTTTGCAAAATCACATTTCTAAGGCTGCGTGATGGACGGCTCTTCAGCTCTGCAGAAGTCAGTGTGGCTGCGTGGGCTGGTTTTCCTCGGATGGGTGCCCTCTTTGTGCATGACGCCAGATGAGCTATATTTCAACACAAGATGCTACATCATAATCATCTGCCTGGATTCCCTGGGCATCTTTTACCTGACTTGATAACAATGTTCTTCATTAGCAGCCTTTGTTAACTGATAACCTGAAGCAGTAATGCGGTACTCATAAGCAATTTTCTGTGTGTAGGATAAAATAAAGCATCTTGTAAGGGATCTGTTAATTGATTTGTTTCTTTTAGCAGCATTTTAATTAAGGCATATAGTTTTGAATGGCAGAAATACTTGTGAATGGAAAGATAAGTCTCTGGATTCTCAGTCCATGGAAATTTTCTGAGTGCACTGAACAGAGAAATACAATCATGTGTCACTTTGTGATGGGGACATGCTCAGGAAGTTCACAGTTAGGGAGCCTCCTTCCTGTGTGGATGTTGTAGGTACCCTCACATGGACTGTTACTACACATGTGGCCCATCACCAATGGAAATATCACTATTCTGTGCCTGTCTGTACACTGAACATCAACATCCTATATCAGGTGTATAGAGACCAACCTCACTCATGAGGCAGTGTGGGCTGGGGCCTTTGGCAATGAACTCTCATTGGCTTATGCCCCTAACCCAGGCCATGGTTTTCTTTTGCAAATCCTCCTGGAGACTGTGGCTTCCTTCTTGAAAATTAAAAGATTAAAAAAGAGTTATGAGGCAAATGCTAACACAAACAGAAATAGTAATTCCAGAAAAAAGCTGCATTCAAGTAGAAAGGCTGAGAAGGTAGGGAGAATATTAGACATTGATCATCCGCTGAGAGAACAGTACCATCACGAGGCTCATGCGGCTGCCCGCAGGGCTCTGCCAGACACTGGAATAGGACGGGCGCCTCAGGAGAAGCAGCGGGGGGCTTTAAGCCAGATCTGCCAAGTGCACTAAGTTTGGATTTGTACTAAGTGGGCTGCAGAAGAAAAACATAAAGTAAGCCCCACAAATGGCAACTGACTGAAATTAGTTGGTCTACATTGGCTAATCAAATGAAATGAATGTTTTTAAACAAACTTTAAAATGTAGAGTGAGGCTCAGTGTGGGAGGGGCACGCGCGTGGCCCTGGGCTCGGTGGCCAGCACCACAGCCAAACACACCCGTACACACTATTTCTGAATGCTAATACAAAAATGTTTCTGTGTTTGGAAATTTCTCAAAATATTTTTAAAATAATGCAAGATTCTAAAAACAGTAATGACAGAGTCATGTCTCATTCTAGATCCTTTACTGGTAACAGTGATAAACTTCGTGCTGAACATTCTAAGATAACTCCTTGAAGACAGCAGAAAGACACCAAAAGCAGGTAAAAGCTAGGAAAGAAAAGAAGCAGCTGAGCTTCCTGCGGACCCAGCTCTGCCCCCTGAGCAGTGTCCCACTTAATGCTGCAGGTGGAGTAAGAGTGGTACAGTCTCACCAAGCTTGGGAGACAGAAGCTGAGATTTGAAATAGCCAGGGGAACAATCATTGAGAGGATTCAGCCTTAGGGACAGAACCAAAATCTGCTGGAAATCCCACTTCAATCCTTGCCTGGCTCCTAAACTGTGTATCTATGAGAGAAATGCCAGGGACTCATTGGACATCAACAGCCAGAAGCTAAAAAGAACAGAGAAGACATTAAGAAGCAGAGTTCAGACCCAGTCCTAGCCCAGGTCCCGTGAGTGTGTGGAAAGCTTCCTGCTAACCTGCGCCGGCGGGACCAGTCCCAGCCCAGGCTCAGGGTGGGCCGGACCCTCTCCCACCCCCTCGGGCCGCCCCAACCACTCCTCCGTACCTCCCCACCCCTCTCGCCAAGGAGGAATTTCTGCCGACTTCCGGGAACCCCCAGACCCAGTCCTAGCCCAGGTCCGGTGAGTGTGTGGAGAGCTTCCTGCTAACCTGCGCCAGCAGGACCAGTCCCAGCCCAGGCTCAGGGTGGGTTGGACCCTCTTCCACCCCCTCGGGCTGCCCCCCACCACTCCTCCATACTTCCCCCACCCCTCCCGCCCAGTAGGAATTTCTGCCGAGCTCCGGGAACACCCAGACCCAGTCCTAGCCCTGGTCCGCAGCGGGAAGGAGCTGAGCACAGCAGCCAGACCTAAGCCAGACACAGCTGGATAACTCCAAACTCTGTAGAGCTCCACCTGAACTTCAGTACGTGTGAAGGTTATAACTACAGCAAAGATCTACAACAAAGGGCAG